TTTTTTTTTTTTTTTTTTTATTTTTTTTTTTTTTTTTTTTTTTTCAAACAAAATAACCGAGACTGTACGCGCAGTCTCACAACTGACGCAGCTAAACGCGAGTACACGGTATATATACCTATAGTGGTATCAACTCATCGAGGCGGCGATTGCAAGTATATACCTAAGACTAGAATGGCGGGTACAACAAAGTCGTAGGACCGGTTACGGACTCTACTACTTGCTGTAAGGGATCATTTTTTGCACATCCAAGTATTCCTCTCTGGAATTTATTTACTCCTAGTGCATCGTCCACTAGATGACAACGGGAGATGTATAGGGTACAGCTGCGCCGTGTAGGTATAAGGTATACACGAGGTGGTGGTAGATTCATCAAGTCGTGTAAATCGTCCTCGACTAAGCTCACCTAAGCTAAACTCGCACACTCTCTCCCAGTGGCGTATGTGTACGGTTTCTCCGCGTCTATTAACAGGGTCTCCTCGACTCGACGGGCTTCCACAATGCACACACACACACACACACGTATACTCCTCGCGCGCAGATTGGATGGTCAAAGGAGCCCCTCCTCAGAACGCACGAATTTCACGATCGATAAGATACAAATAGGAACGAGTTAATTGACCACTTGCGCGCGGACCGGAAGTACCGTCGCCGAGGGACGAGTCGAAACCAAATATACGAGGGGAGGAGAAGCGAACGGGGAGACATGCACAGAGTAAGGGAGCAAGGGGTGTGTTGCAGTTGTTGGGTGTATACAGTATATGTATGTGTGTATACACGAGGGCTCCTGTGCGCGCCTGTGCGTGATGTGTACAACATGATGTACTCTCCGCGTGTAGCGCGCACCGCCTCGCTATATTTCAAATCGTAGCGTATACGTAGGACTTGCACATGTATAGCAGGCATATTATGGAAACAAATTGCCTCTGTGTGCGCTCCCGAGCTGAGTTTGAGTTGCTTTCTCTCGACGTATGTACGGTTATATATATAATACGGCCCCGCGAGCTTCGGCGAGTCGATATCCCTGCGATCGCTTTTCTAATTTCACCCCCGCGAGCTACTATTTTTTTTTTATTTTATTCATTTTTTTTTGAAAATCCAAACACACGTAGCGCACGAGCCAGTTTTTCTTGAAAATAACACCGGTTCGCGCGTATCGGGATCTCGCAAATCGAATTTTTCCCCCCGAGTGACACTTAAATTGGTTACTTTTGGACCGGCAGATAGGAGACAAAGGGGGGGTGGGGTAGGCGATGCGTATACCTGTACGTGCGTCAGATGGCTCGTAAAAGGGCCGTATTTGTTTTAATTAACGTGGCCCCGTAGCTATACCCGAGTTTATCACCAGACAATATACAGAGCTGCGGTCTTTCTCGCCACCCCCAACAGTTCGATCGCATGGCTTCGCGCTTTTTCCAATATGATGGTCAAAGTACAAGGGAGGCGCTTAAAAAGTTACTCATACGCGGTGTTGGCGAAAGTAAAGTTTGCAGAAGAAGGGAGTCGTCCCAAGTTTTTCGTCCCCTCTCTCATCCCGCTTATGGGCGAAAATTGGCTGAAAAAGAAATTTCGCGCTGCCCCCCCACCCCCTAATACTCGACTTTTTTTCGTCCCTGCAAGCTACAATATAGAGCGAAGGGGGTGGGAGACAAGCTCTCTCTCTCTGTAAAAGCTCTTAGACAGATACAAAAGCGCGAGCGCTTGGCGCATGCGCCAAGGAAAATCGATTCCTCGCGAGGACCGTGGGTTACTGCACGTATACACCTTTACAGCGCGTGTAGATCCTTCGGCGTGTGCGCGGAGTCATTCCTTAATATACGCACGCCTACACCTATATACCATGGTATCCTCCCTTCAGTTGAGAAAATGAAAGTGGGCCATCGAAAGCTCCCGCGCTTGTATATATGTATATATCTGTACGTGGGTGGGTATTGTACTTACGCACCGAAACGTCCACTCGGCGCGTAAGAGCCTCTTTCATCGCTCGTCTTCGTCGACGTCTTTTAGTTGATGCGTGGCGGAGCGAGGGATCGATCGAAATACGATCTCCTCTCCGTGTTGGTCCGCGGCGCGGGGGAGAGGGGTGCGACACGCGCTCGTGCCACACACATGCACGAGGAGGCGTGCGTCACCTCTATTATCTCTCGGGGGGGGGGGGGGGCTGAGCGGGGAAAAAAAACACGGAAATAATGTTCTTCTCCATACGCCGGCCGAGGGGCGCGGAGATCCGATGGCCTCTGCTCTAATATCTCTTTCTCGGATTACCGCCTCCGTCGCTCTCTCTCTCCTGCGTGTATAAATGTACAACGAAAACACAGCGCTTTGATGCCACCTCCCTCTTCCTCCGACAAGGAGATACGTCCGTGTATCAGTGCCACGGCTTTCTGTTACACGATATAATCGAAATATCTTGGTGGTTATTGTACCGTGGCCAAGGTTTGTTTTTTTTTTTTTTCAAATTTATTCGTACCCTCGGGCAAGTTTTCGTTTATCCGATCAAAGTGTATGAATTACCATCACCCAGTCTGGCTGTTGGCGTAACTCTGTACGCATATTCATCCAAATGTATTCGTATACACTGCTGCATGCGCATTTTCGTGGATTTTTGTTGTTTACGGATCGTCTCATCAATCTCCATCAGTCATCACCCAACAACAATCGCATCAAATATCTGGTCATTTACGGGATTAAAAAAAAAGGTATCGAGAGTGGGGGGTTGTGGGGGACACTCAAATTGATGAAAAACAAAACAAAACGGAGGGTCATTTGGAGAAAAAAAAAGAAAAAAAAAAAAAAGAAAGATTTGCTCTTCCAAATTAAAACGTCGCTCGAACGAAAGCAATTTAGCGACTCGTATACCGAGTCTTGATTGGAATTCGCATTCACGCTGGCTGCCTCGGTAAATGACCAGTTAATGCCAGTAATGACTGGATCACGTCACCAAGCGCGCAATCATTTTCATCAACATCTATATATACATATGTGTACCCATTATACGTACGAAGCCGAGCTTTCAGCATCTGCTTTTTTTTTTCACTGCCATGCACACATACGCTATTATTTACGTATGCATACATACCTACATCATCAACTGTATCGTTATCGCCTTATCGATAAAAATGATTATATGATAATTACTGATTGCATAAAAGTATGCTCATGTGATAACAACAAATATGTTTTCTCTCTCGTTTCAGTCACTCGATGGTGCCTGGTCATTTATTGATGCAGTCGTCCTATATGTATGTACTTTTATCATAAAAATGTTAACCACACATTGCCTTACGTATACATATTATGTAATTACACGAAAATCCAGTATTTGACAAAAAGCAAGGATATATGATGCCTATCCGTTGCACAATTTTGTAAAATTACCCGTATATACCATTTGGGGGATGGATGTAAAAAGAGCTTTCATTCGTATCTCAAATTTGATAACTGTTATATGTGGGCATAGGTCACACGGCAGAAAGTTTCAAGCTGGTGCTCGAAATCCATCGTGTGGCTGTAATCTGTATATATCTGGCGCCTAAAAGCCAACCTGCGCACTTCCCTATACATATATTCCGTGTATCCTATATCGTACAGCAGCTGTTTGGCGTACGTACCCACACATATGCAAAAAACGCGATGGTAAACGTATATGTATGTATATGTGGATTGGTACACCAATGTATTATCCCCGGCTCGCATCATACAGGGGCACACGTGCACTTCTCGACTGTCAATATCGGCTTGGCCGGTGCGCGGGAAAACGATTTCGTTTCATGGGTCGCGCCGCGGACTCGGGGAAAAATAGAAAAAGTTCATCCCGGTTGCACGTGACTCCCATCGCCCGATCATCGGCGTTACATCGGAAAGCGCTTTCCCCCGTCGGCGCTCGGGTGCGTCAAAACATTTTCCTGTTTTTCCCGAGGAAAATCCGAAAATGGCGCTGTATCCGGTACTGCAGCGCGGATAAGATAGGACACAGAGGGGAGGGGGAGGAGAAGAGTCCACATAGCGTCGCGCGGATGTCAATTGTCTAACGCAATCGGAGCGGTAGTAGCGCGCACCCCCTTTCCTGCCCGATGTACCCTCGGGCTCCGCGGCTTTCCCCTTGGATAAACACGCGCGCGCATGCCCGGACAATCGAAGGCAACGATTGGCCCTCGCTATGCGCTTCCCCTATACATATACAGGGCTGTAGGCCTCCGGCTTCCTCCCGGCGACTACTCCTCTCTTTGCCCCCCCTTTTTTTTTTTATTTTTCTCCGTTTCCTATACGTGTACCACTCCCTCCTCTTTCTCGCGGCGCTGCTTTTTTCCGCGCCCTCTGACTCTCTCCCTCTTTATACTCGCCGACCCTCCCGAGCAGAGTGGGTATGCATATACATGTATATACGGGGCACACATGGAAGCTCTTTAAATATGCGTCGCGAATAAAGCGGGCGCGCGCCTTTGGCCCCCTCCCCGCGAAATTTATTTTCATGAGCTTCGGGCTTATTCGTTTGTCTGATATTGCGCGCGAGCCTCTGCAAGCTTCCTCTCTCCCTCTTCTTCTTTCTGTGTGCCGTCTGCATCACCCCCTCCCCCCCCTACATCATACGGTGGATGAGGCTCTTCTATACCGTATCATCGCCATTATTGGCACCGCCACCGGCGACACCCATGCACAGGTATATGCCTCGAAATGCCTATACATTGAATTTCCATCGAATATCGAGAGAGTCGAAATTACTCTCATCTTCTTCACGGTTAGCTCCGTTGCACCCTCTCGCGTTTTTATCCTCAGTATGGCGTGAGCCGTGGGGGTGAACGAGTACCATAGTGACCCGCATACCGATGATCTTCGCTTCACCCCTTGGGAGGGAGAAAGGGGAAGGGGGGGATAATTTTTTCTTTCCCCGGCAAGGGCAATCTCACGGCAGCTGCTCTCCCGCTCGTAAAGCCACTCAATTCTTATCTCTGGGAGCACCGTCGTGCCTAATGAGGCGAATACTTTAAACGCAGCTACGTGCACAGGTGTATAAACATGTATACATATACTTACCCTTGGTGGCTCTTCCATGTGCAGACTCCTCCCTTGCGAGTCTCTTTGGTCCCGTCGCGGCGCTGCCTCATTCAAATTCCTACCCAGATAGGTACGTCTCCTCGTTACTCTAGCTCTTGCTCTATACCTTAACTTGCCTCATTCTTCGTCCCCACAGCGTTAGGTGTGCGTCTGATGATGTGGCAAAACACCTTTTGCGGCTGCATCCCAGGTATAACATAGCTATACGTATAGCCGTTACTGTTTGCTTTGTAGGCTACTATGACAGAGGGTTGGCTTTATTTGCGCGCGTGTGTGCGTCCACCTGCGATGATAAATTGGACACCTGAAATACAAAGGGACCGCACGGTACAGTGGGTGAAACAAAGAGCTGGACGCCAGAGGGGAGAAAATCACGTGCTCGTGTTCAGGTTCGCCTTTAATTATATATATGGATAAAAACATTACTCGTCACTTTGTAGTTTTACTTATCGGGTTACGGTATAGTGGTGGAATCCCCGGGTACTATAATCACGATTTCAATTGTTATGAGTTTTCAAACTACTGCAACAACAACTACGACGACAATGACAATAACAATAGTTGAAACTAGAACTGTACATTCGGGAGTAATCATCGGGCGGGATTAGCCCATTCCCGATCGCGTGCTCGTACGAATGAGGGATTTCATCCGCTCGCTTCGACGTATTTTATTGTTTGTATGTGTATACGCGCGTAATACCTATGTGCATATGGATATTATATTAGTATATAAGCGAGAGGACAAACCTACAACTACGAATTTGTTGCCAACGCGATTTTATTCGCCGATATAGGGTAGTAGCTATAGTGGTGGTAGCGCGCTCGCCGTCGACGAAATCCGGAGGTACAGGTATTATCAAATCGAAATTAATTAAATCGTCGCGCATTCATGTATATACATATACACGTACGTCCAATCTACGGATGAATTCACGTGTAGTCCGGTGGCTCCTCGATAAATCGATTCGAGCGCCCATCCCTATTTTATAATACCTATACATGATGGAATACGCGCGCAGTAGCTCGTGTATATGATTTATCAAGTTATCCCGACCCCCCGCTGTCGCAGTTTACTTTGAAGGGAGCAAACGAGGGAGAAAGACACAAAGGGACGAGAGCACTCTTGAAGGATCCATATTAAAAAAACGCGTACGGAGACAACAGCGTATACATATATTTGCAAAAATACGGTATGATGCAAAAAAAAAAAAAAAAGAAAAAGACGCATGTTTTGCGTCGCGTATGCGGCATATTTGTATGTAATGTAGCATCACTGGTGCCGCCACCGCTGAGCTCGAAAGGCATAAAAAAAAAAAAAAACTACCGCCTTGCGTACGTGGGTATAAACACGCGTCGACTCATGAATTATCGGTCTTTCACGTTGCAAAATGCCACGCGCCCCAACCTATGTAGCTACTAACCGAGCTACTGTGTATAGATACGTTGTAGGAGAGGCTCGCGTCTATACATATATGTATAATACACGGTGCATGGCTCGTTCATGAATATTTCAAGTCATACATGAAATGCATTGAAAGACGCTAGAGCCAAAGGTGTGCATAGAGGGAAAAAAAGAGCATGTATGTATAAAGGTGGAGTCGGAGGGATCACGGGTGTATGGCGCGTCCTCGAGTCAGGGGTTGCACACACATACGCATACAGAGGGAAAAAGAGAGCAAAAGAAGAAGAAGAAAGTGTTACATTTTAATTGCGAGGGTGGCAAGTGCCGGCGTGTGTACCGCAAAGTGAGAGAGCTACGATGGGTTCGAGGGGTTGACGGCGCTGAGGTAGCGGAGGGGGGTGGCATCGCAATTGACTCATCAGTTGAATGACACCGAGCACACACCGCACCAACACCGGTTTTTTACCCTCATACAGACGGAAAAGCTCACTCCTCGTACATATATACGTATATACCTTCACTGTCTGTTGATAAATATATATCCATACGGGTATATGGACGTGGAGCAGCTCCTTCGACGCTAGACTGTATACATGTAGGTAAGGGGCGAAGCGCCGGCAGTTTCGTATAACCTACCGCCACCGGATGAATTATTTACGGCAGCGCGGCTCTACGTCTATACTGGCTTCCCATCAGCTACACGTTGGCTCGCCTCGCTTTTTACGTCTCCATTCCCCATCATGTAGCACGTACAGTTCGTCTTCTGTATTATAATTGCGGTGCGGAGCTCAAACGCGCCGTGCCGGCTTTACTCCCTGCATATATAGCTATAACACGTATGTGTGTACATAAATTATATATACCTACGTGGGGGTGGTGGAGGTATTTATATAAGCCGTGAGATTAGTGATTCGACTTGTTGTTTGGTTGGCAATGACAGAGGTGACGGAGGTCTCCCATCGGATGACCCCACAATAGATTATTTGGAAATAACACTGGAGGACGTTTGAGAATGTATTGACGCAGAAAAATGGCCCTTTTTTTATACCAAAGCCAAGTATGATTCTGGTTGCATAATCACGGCCGCTTGAGCACCAATAATTTTTCACCCCGTTTTGCCTCCTCCCCACCTCTGTACTGAATAATAATTTTCGCCAAGCTGCGCGATATCGCTTCCTGTCGTAATTTCAGCGGCCACCTCCTCAGAGTCGCACGCGCGCGCCCCATTGCCACGTGCGTGCACGCGTATACGTGCGCGCGAGCTATTAAGTATAAAACACTGTAAATATCGCGTTGTGCCCTTGCGTCGAAAGCTGAGAAATTAATTTTTAACAGCATGAAAGCGGTGGCCGCTGGTACGCTTATAAAATTTCAATTTAGAACCGGGGATTTTCCTTTCCATCGATTCGATCTACCACCACGTAGTCGTCACGCTGTAAAAACTTGCATTTCGTTGAGTACACGAGTTTTTTACCCTTTTGTACATAAAATCTGCATGACAATTACATCAAAACGTATATATTGGTCAGTGGTGAATTGTATGAAATGTTACGCATCCGTCGTGATCATACACAGGTACTCACATGGTGTCAAGCAACTGGTTCCATATTTTCCTTTTTTGCGAGCATTATAATTCGCCTTTTCTTTCCCCCATCGATTCTCGTTAATTGCTATTGATTGTTATTTATTCATCATCGAGCTACACGCAAGAAGAAAGTTAATGCCCAAAGACTGCATGTAAAAATAACAGGTGTACACGTAAACGTCCAGAGACAACTTCAAATA